ATTTGTCATATTTAAAAGATAAGGTCTCAATTTGTATTTAAAAAATTAATATTCACATTTAGATTTTTTTTTAGAAATTATTAAAATTTCCTGTCTATAGTCAATCTTTAACATTATCGATTTTCAAACAGGTTTAAAACAAATTCTGGGTTTTGAGCAACAGAGATCAAAAGTTTTAATTTCACTTACTACTTAAATTAATCAGGTTAAATTCAACATTTTTTAACGATACTTATATCTCAAGAGTTGCAAAATACAATACACTATTAGTGCTTCGAACCAAGCAATGTATAAGAAAAAAAATCCGAGCCTGACTTTTGTAGGATTTGAAGATTTAAAAAAATTACTTATATTTCAGCACATATTGCGTGAAATTGAGAAACATCAATGTATACACAAGGCATCCAATAAATATTGTTTTTAGTGTCTCTAAAAAATATAAATTCTAATATATTTGGAGCAAATATATTTAGTGCGAAACTAGGCGTATTCCGCTAGTAGATGATTTCATTAAACTAAACTAAACACATTCTGAAAAAAAAAGACCTTATACCATAGATTGAAATGTTCTTACTCAATTTTATGGTTTAATTAACAATTATAACACATACAAATGAATGTAATTACTATGAATGTGACTTTATTTTCTTGTCTCGATTATCAATTTGATATGTATCCTGATTACCCAGTAAAATGCTCAAACCCAATCTGACAAGTAGAGTTTTTACTTTAGGATAATTTTTCGATTTCGTCATACTTAATTAACTATAGTGTTTTCTATGTCTGAATTTGTTTTAAGTGTTGTATTTCAGACAACTCGTTTAGGAAGGTATTTTTACTCTTCCAACAAAACCAACTTTTTTCCACTGTAATTGAATTACCGTAAAACGAAGCGATTAGGAACAGATTTGTCCCCCGGTGGGACAGCGGTAAGTTAACTGGCTTACAATGCTAAAATACGGAGTTCGATCCCCTGCGATGGACACAGCAGATAGTTCAATGTGGCTTTGCTCCACATCAAACAAACAAGGAACAGATTTTTCCAAACGGTGACACATCTACCTACGTCTCTTAATTCTCAAGCTATGGCTTGAAAACAAATGAAATAGGTGAGTAGGTTACTTAACTATAGCCACATTTATCAAGTGTCCTAATCACACTATCACTCGATAACGAGGTGTTTAGGGACGAACATTAACAATTATCTACAGTCCGCCACTGAGTATATATGAACAAAAAATATTTAATGGGGAATAAAAACTAAACTAAACACAATAGCCACTATTGTGCCACATTAATGCCTTGCAAGAACAGCAGAATTTTATAATTATTCAAACCTATTTTCTCAAAATACAAG